AATCTCCAAATTCTTTTTGTCTTACAAAATTGAAATTCTATATCCATTAAACAATAACTCCCCTTCACCCACTCCCCTTATTCCCTAGCATGAGTATGACTACACAACTATTGAGTTTCCAGAATCATACATTATTTGTCTTTTTGTGACAAGTGCCCTCCCTGCAGCCCCAGCACTGGCCAGGCCTATTACTGAAGGGGCTTAGAGTAGGAGACCCTGGGTCTGCTCTTTCACTCTGCTCCCACCCCAACAATCTGAAATGGAGGTAGGAGCCACAGTCTGTTTCTGAGATCCTCTGCATCACCTGGGTTGAAGTGTAGGCAAAGCAGAGGCCTTTTTGTGTAATTGGCCTTCCACCTGGTGCTGGGAAGTCTTCTCTCTTCCTGCATTGGCATGGTACATGGTTATCCTGGGGCCATTTTTAGCACCAGACTAATCTCCAAGGATCCCTTACAGAGGAACAGCCATAGCTGCCTTTGGCCCTTCCAGCTCACTCTGTCTCCAAATCTTCTGCAGGAGGGATGACTTTTATTTGCCCAGTGGTCTCAGAGGCAACTCCCAGCTCCTGCCTTCCCCCACCCCCAACCTCTGAGCTCCTTCTTATGGAACTAATGATGATGATGACCTTTTTCAGGCCCTAAAGGCTGAGGGGGACTGCAGTGAGTTATCCTCATCCTTTACTCAGGCATACCACATTGCTGATCCTTCTCATCTACTGGTCTAGGCTGCCTCAGAAACCTCCAAGTATCATGCAGTCACTGGTGTCTACATTCACATACATCCCCAAACTCAAGGGGAGCAGAAGAGGTAATACCTATCAGGATCTCCCAGTGACTCTCCTGGTACCCTGCTACAGTGACAACACCAGGAAAACTCTGCAGGTCCCCAGCTGGTAAGTAAGGAAGTAGTCCTCCCTTCTTGCCTGCCTTTGAAGCCTCCCCGCTCCTGCTACTACCTGTTCTGGGGGTGGGAGGTGGAGGGACTCAAGGCAGGTGGTGGAGGGCAGTATGGGAAGGGAAGAAAGTAACATCGCCCCTGGAATTTCCAACCAATGCTCTGTCTCTCCTTTTCCTTCTCTAACTTCTTTTCTTATAGACTGGCTGAAGGTGGTAGGAAGAGCAGTCTGGGAGTTAGAGTTCAGGGTACAGGGCCTGTTAGGCTGTGCTTTATTACTCTTGTTGGGTTTTGTGGCAGAAACTTCCAGTTGCCCATGCAATAGCATTCTCCCCTCTTTCTTTTTTTTTTTTTAAGATTTATTTATTATTAATAGTTATTTATAGAGCATTCACATGCATGCTCTCAAGTGGGGGGAGGGGCAGAAGGAGAGAGAGAATCCTCAAGCCCACTCCCTGTTGAGTGGGGAGCCTGATACGGGGTTCGATCCCAGGACCCTGAGATCATGACTTGAGCTGAAATCAAGAGTTGGACGCTTATCTGACTGAGCCACCCAGGTACTCCTCCCTTCTTTTGGAAGGAAGGAAGGAAGGGAGGAAGGAAGGAGGGAAGGGAGGGAGGGAGGAAATATCCTGTATTATTGGAGTGGCCAAGTGCCCAGATAAAAGAACTACATTTCCCAGGCTCCCTTGCAGTTAAGGAAGAAGGAAGGCTCAAAATACATATGCAGAAGTTGTGTAGCTTTAGTAAAAACCTGATAAAGAGAGATGATTTGGCTTGGAGGTGTGAGCTTTGCTCTCTTCCCCTTTCTCCTTTTTCCTTCTTGGAACAGGTAATGCAGTGGCTTGATAGCTCCAGCTCTCAAGGATAGGAGCCACACTCCATTGTTGGAAAATCCAACCTCGATAGGCAGCTATGCAGAATAAATGAGATAGTCATGTAATGTTGCTAGTACAGTACAATATAAAGTTGCTAGTATTTAATGAATGGTACCTGGTATTAAATTCTAAACCTGGGGGGGATCTCAGAGTAGCATTTTTCGTAATCACCCCCAAAATGTAAGCAACCCAAATATCTATTCAACAATACAGTGGATAAACTGGTATGGTTATACTATGGGATACTACAGAAGAATGAAGACAAATGAACTACAGTTACACTCAACACTTGGTTGAATCTTCCAAACATAATGTTGATCCAGAGATCAAATGCCAAAGAATATGTACTGAAGATTTCATTTATATAAAGTTTAAAAATGAACATAACTAGGGTGCCTGGCTGGCTCAGTTGGTAGAGTGTGCAACTCTTCATCTTGGGGTCGTGAGGTCAAGCCCCACATTGGGTGTAGAGATTACTTAAAAAAAAAGAACATAACTAAGTTATAGATGTTAAGAAGGCCATTACCTCTGGAAAGGAGAAGAAATAATTGAAATGGACTCCTGGAAACCGACAATGTTCTCTTTTTTGAGTGGGTGCCGGTTACATCGTGTTTTGTGTACTTTTCCATAGGTATGTTCATTTTCAATAAAAATATTTTTTCCAATAAAAGGATTTAAAAAGAAGAGAGTTGACATAACGAAAAATATTTTAAAAATAAGGTAGCATATGCAAATGACAAAATTCACAGAGGCTGTATATGAATAAATTATGTTTGAGAATTAAGGGATTGGATGACCCATGTACCTGTATGATTTGAGGATTCAGTGAAGTACTCAATAATTGGTACAGGTAGAAACTACTGTGTAGCTGGTGAATAAAAACAGAGAAAGAGAGAGAGAGAAGAGGAGGTAGTAGTAAGGAGTGGCTAAGAGCATAAGCTCTGTAATTAAAATGCCTGGTTTGGAATTCTCACATCACCACCTGTTGGTTCTGTGACCTTAGGCAAGTTACTTAACCTCTCTCTACTCAATTTCCACATCTGTAAAATGGTAATAATGATAGCACCTATTTCTATGCTTCTCTCCTAGCTTCTGGTGATGGCTGACAATCCTTGGCCTTTCTTGGCTTGTAGATGCGTCACTCAAATCTCTGGCTCCTTCACTCAGATCTCTGCCTCCTTCTCCACATGGTGCTCTTCTGTGTGTTTCTGTTTTCTCTGTTCACATGGGCACTCATCATATTGGATTAAGGATCCACCCTAATGACCTCATCTTAATTGATTACATCTGCATTCACTGTACCTTGGGTTAGGACTCCAACTTACCTTTTGGGGTGACACAACCCAGAACATGTAGAAAAATTGGAAAAATAATAAATACCCATATGACCACCACTGGACTCAGTAATTGTTAATATTTTGCCACTTTTTCTTCATGTATCCCCTAAGATTAAAGTTATTCTTCTGCCTAACCACACTGCTATTGTTGTGCCAGTAAAATTAACAATAATTCCCTATTATCAACTAATATACAATTGCAGTAGATTGCACTATTGTTCAAAATTACTCACTTTTTACTTCCCTGTGGGAAGACAATACATCCCTGCCCTATAATCTTTGCAGTTGACTATATTGTAAAACTGTTTTAGCAAACATAATGTGAGCAGCAAGATGTACCCTGTAGTGCAGAAGCCATTTGAATCATTGCCTGGGTTTTGGAATGAGAAGACACATAGTTCAGAACATCTGCCAGGAGCATAGCAGTAGCCAGCTAGGAGCCTATGAATGACTTGAGCAAGAAATAAATATTTATTTTGTAAGCACTAAAATTTAGAGCTGTTTGTAATTGCAGGTTTTCCTGGTGCATTTAGAGCTAATTTTAATATTTTTAGGGCCAGTATGCATTCCAGATTTTCACATTGTATTTGGTTTTTATGTCTCTTAAATCCCTTTTATTATGGAACAGTGTCCTACCTTTTCCCATCCTTCCTTCATTTCACTTTTTTTTATTCTTAATGAAATTTATCTTTTTAAGTCAGGTTAGTAATCTTATAAAAGACCTCACACTGTGAATTTGTGTGATTATTTCCTGTTGGTGTTTTTTAACTTTTCCCTCTAAGTACTTCCTGATCTTGGTTGCAAATTGACATCACCTTGGAATATTATTTTATCAGTGTGTGTAGTATATCCATACCACAAATGGCAGCCATCATGTCCTTTGATGCTCACATTAACTTTAGAGGGAAGCAAGGGAGGAATTGGTGTCTCCACGTAACAAAGGGATCTGAGAGAAAAGTAACTTATGTTAGGTCACCTAGTAAGTGGCAGAGCCAGGGCATAAATCCATGACATTCCCATCCTGCCTTTATTCCTGTTGTTTTGAAGTAGTTTGAGAGAGATAGATATAGATGTAGATATATGTATCTCTCTATCCCTGATTGGATATACAAGCAACTAGTAACAGCGATTGTCTGAAGTACAGAGTTAGGAGTCAGCGAGAGACTTTTCATCATATATTCTTTTATATTATTTGAATAATTTTCGTGAGGGTAAAAAAAATAAGTAGGTACTGAATTCAAAAGAGCTTTATAAATCATAAAGCACCATTAAAATACTAGGGTTTAATGTTACTATTATCTACCAGCAAAAAGAAATAAAAAATTGGGTGTTTGTGAAAAAGTTGAGTAAATTAATTTGGTACGTCCATGTGTTCGAATAAGAGTCCATTTTTCTTTTTAAAATCGGCCTTCGGAATATTTAATAACATTGGAAAGTGCTCAAGGTAAGTGGAAAAATATACAAATTACATAGGTGTATGATTACAATTTTATGTGTTCCCTGTGTAAACATAGATACACAAAGAGAAAAGAGACTGGAAGGAACCATCCACAATGCTTCTAAAGGAGAGGGGTGATAGGAAGTATTTTCTTATATTTTTCGGTATATTCCACATTTTCTTCTTTAGGAAGAAAAAAAATCACAACTAAACTTTCAAACTTGGTTAGAAAGGAATTTTTTTATAACTTCGTAGGCTGACTTGCTGCACGACGGGAGGAGAAAAGCGAAAAATCGTGTGTAGAGCGAAAGGAAAATTGTAACCCTCCTTCCACCCTCGGAAGTGGATTAAGGACTACAAGGAGAGTCGAGAGAGATGCCGGCCTCCACTATGGCTAGAGCGGCCACTAAGAGACAGCGGAACTTCCGGGGCGGGGCTCTGTTGGTCGTTCACCTTCCGCGGGGCGAATGTGGCCCTCTTGCAACGTTAAAGTTCGCGATTTCTGGGCCGGTACTTCCGTCACTCTGAGACGGTGTTTGAAGGTGGGGGCTACTATGGCAAAGAGCAAATTCGAGTACGTGCGGAACTTCGAGGCTGACGACACCTGCCTGGCCCACTGCTGGGTGGTGGTGCGGCTGGACGGCAGGAATTTCCATCGGTGAGTGATTGCGGCTCGCGGCCACATGTTGCGCCCGCGCTTTCTGGGACTCAGACACCGCTCACCGCCTCGCTCACGGTTACCGGATAACGCGGCAGCCAATGAGCGCGCGGCACTGAGCATCACCCGACGTGCTGGCTACTACGTGCCTGAACGCCAGCTGGTTTGAGTAGTTAAACTGAGGCCGAGTGCGCGCGTGGTGAGCCGCCGGCCTGCGTGCCGGTGAGCAGAGACCTGTTAGCAAGCCGTGATGGAAAACGTCACTCCCTGGTGCAGTATTTCATCTCTAGCCAAATGCTTGGCTATTTCGTTAGCTGTCTTTGAGGGCCGACTGTTCAGAGGCCTCTTTAGGTCTTGCTGTGGGCAATACTTTACAGTATGTTTTTGTTTCATTATTAGTAACTGCATCGACTGGACTCGAGGAAACGAGTCAGAAAAAAGGGAGAAGTGTAACACAAATATGGGAATTTAATTCTTAAAAGTGTTATTTTAATAATGGTTATTATAACTAACATTTATTGAGCACTTCCAAGGAGCTAGGCGTAGTTACATTTTTTACCTCTCTAATCTTCAGAACAGCCCTATGAAGTAAGTATACTTTTATCTCCACTTGACAGAAAAGGGAATGGAGACTTAGCATTTATACCCCTTTTCCTCAGGGCAGGAAAAAACTAGAGTTCTTAAGGAAATGAGTCAGGTTGTGGCTAGTAGACTCACAGCACTTTACATATCTTCATCTGTATGCAGTCTTTTTGATATCTGGTGTTAAGGACAAACTCTCTTCCATTCATGCCCGTTTCCCTCTTCTCTTCCCTCTGTGAAGGTTTGCTGAGAAACACAACTTTGCAAAACCTAATGACAGCCGTGCTCTCCACCTAATGACCAAATGTGCCCAGACTGTAATGAAAGAACTGGAGGATATTGTGATTGCATATGGACAGAGTGATGAGTACAGCTTTGTGTTCAAGCGGAAAAGCAATTGGTTTAAAAGAAGAGCGAGGTAATTCCATGGCCTAGCTCCTTCAGAATATTTCCTACCAGCCTTTGCTTTTGCTCTTTTTAATTTCTGACTTACAGACTGCAGATAGAGTCTGCAGTATTTGCAACTGCAGAATGTCTATTTTCTGTTTAGACTGTTGTACTTCGTCTGATATTTGAACATTACATACGCCTCTTTATGTTTCTTTCCCCTCCATTCCTCATCACCTTAGCTTCTAGATAGATCTGGCACTTAATATTAAGACTAGAAACAGAGACCATTAGAATATTATAATATTAATGATTCATAGGTTGGCTCTAGCCAGTGACAGCCTATATGTGCATTACAGTATTGTTTACATTTTTAATTGAGGATCTCAAAATAGACAAATTAGATTTTTCATTTGGCAGTATATTGAAACTCTCACAGAAAACAAAGCATATAATGAATTGGTATGTTTTTAAAACAATGGTTCCCTTCCTTCCAAGACTAAAAGAACCCAAAAACCTCTTGAACCAGAAATTCACATCACATCCTACAGAGAAAAATTTGGCATTAGTAAGTTACTGATAGGACTGGAGAGGGGCAGGCTGCTTAGTTTTTCTTGGCCCAACACATTTTATCTCTTGGCTTGCTGAATAGTTTGTGTAATCACTCTGTTGCACCCGCAGGTCCTGTCATGGTTTTGAATTAATATCATGCATTTTCTCTTTTCTTGCTCCACCCAATGTGCCTTACTTTTGCAAGTAAGTTCATGACTCACGTGGCTTCCCAGTTCGCCTCCAGCTATGTGTTTTATTGGCGAGATTACTTTGAGGACCAGCCCCTTCTGTATCCCCCAGGCTTTGACGGAAGAGTCATAGTGTATCCTAGCAACCAGACCTTAAAGGACTACCTCAGTTGGCGGCAAGCAGATTGTAAGTAAAACCAAATAAACAGATGTAGTTAAAACCACCAATTCCATACATTAGAGGTGGTGATTTGGTTCAGTTTTGGTGCATGTGTATTTTGTTCAGAATGCAATATTTCAGGTTTTTTTAATTAGTTGAAAACAATCGAACAGTTGGGAAATTTATGTAAATACTTCCTTTTTCCAGTTTTTTTGGGAAAATCAGAAGACCTGGCAATACTAGGTCATCATTCAGACTTAGTATTGGACATAACCTGTGCTGGGCAGTGACTCCTGTCTTCACACACACACACAGAAGCCAATGTGTCATAGTCTCTACCATTCTCTCTCGTTCTCCAGGGGTCATCTACTCTGCTTTATGCTTTTATATTCATGGTGGCCTCAGTGGGTGATTTGAGTTTTGACCCCTGCCTTACATGACTATGGCGACATGTTTGTGAGACTTACTCATTTGGTATATCTTGCTTTTCCCAGAAGAAGAACTGGGAAAGTGCTAGGAATAATCTAAATCAAATAACTTTGGAAGTACTCCCAAGTGTAATTTTCAAGTTAACCAGTTTACGTAAAGCATAACTGAAATGACAGAATAAAACTTTTAGGAAATAAGTTTGTTTATACTTAACCACTCCCCCCCCCCCCCCATGTTCCCAGTGTATGGTTCTGGGTACACCACTAAATGTCTCTGTGATCTCTCTACTTAAGAGGGGTAGAGTTCTAATATTCTTTGAAGTGCAAATATTGAATAAAGATTATGTATGTATAAACAGTGCTTTTCTGTTCTCACAGGTCACATCAATAATCTGTATAATACAGTTTTCTGGGCACTTGTACAACAGTCTGGACTAACACCAGTACAAGCCCAAGAGAGATTACAGGTATAAGATCTTACTGCATTAATACTTAGCTGGGGGTGGTTTTCTATACTCTCCCATGGCATTTTGCATTCTTTTAAAGCTCTCTTTGCTGCTTTGTTTTGAGAGGATAAAAATACTAGTAGCAGCTCTGCTGCTTGCTTGCTCTGTGACTGTGGGTAAGTTACTGTCTCTCCCTGGGACTTAGTGTCCTCAGTTGGAAAATGGAATTAGTGATACTGGCTCTACCTTCCCACATGGTAATGCTTGGCCGGGGCTGCCTATCGGTTGCCTTCTTTAGATGGGGCATGTGCTCTTCTTTTTCATCAGTCCCACTTGGCCTCTTCATCATTGCCATTCTCTGCTGGGTGTGTGCATCGGTAAGAGTAGAGGCTCTGGGAATGCAATAATTGTACTCAGGGACTTCTGTTTAATTTTATCTTCTCTGCCTTAGTTCTTTTTTTTTTTTTTTTAAGATTTATTTATTTGTGAGAGAGAGAAAGAGAGAAAGTGTGAGCAAGCAGGGTGAGGGGCAGACAGAATCTTGAGCAGACTCCCTGACGAGCAGGGAGCCTGATGTGGGGCTCAGTCCCAGGACCCTGAGATCATGACCTGAGCCAAAATCAAGAGTCCCTTAACTGAGCCACCCAGGTGAAACAAGAAATAATAGTTCCCACCTCATAAGTTTATGGTGATAATTAAGTGGCGTGATGCATGATGTATGTAAAACACATAGCATAGTACAAAGCACATTGTAAGTACTTTAATAAACACTGGCTTTCATCATTAGATGACAGCGCTGCTTGTAGGATGACTAACTCTGAAATGAGGTGTTGTGTTGTAACGGCTCCTAACTCAGTGCCTGGTACGTTGTAATTACATGATAAATGGTTGTCATTAACGATGATGATGAGGATTTACAGATACCATTAATAGGAATACTGGTAGATTTATCCAGAGTTTGGAAGAGCCGAGTTTAGATTTTGGTTTTTCTTAGAAGAATAAAAGCAATCTTTAGCCTTAGGCAATTTATATAATTTTTCTAAGCTTCAGAGTTCTGTTCTTTCAAATGGAGATGGTAGTGAGGGTCAACTAAGATAACATAGTGTATGTGGTACAGAACAGGTGCTCTTACTGCTAGTTCCTGTCACCCTGTCACAGTTGTGATTTTTGAAGCCAGTTGTTTGCTACAGAAGACAATTTTTTGAATTTATACATCTAAATAAGATTTAAACAGCTCTTACAATGCAGATTCATTAGTATCTATAAGAGGTTTGATAAAACCCTTCCACTTTTTGATTTGTTTGTGGAAATTTAGATAAAGGGTGGAATGGATAGGTAGCGTTAGGGCAGAGAGCAGACATGAAAATCTGTTTTTGTCTATTTTCTCAGGGAACTCTTGCAGCAGACAAGAATGAGATTTTGTTTTCCGAATTCAACATCAACTACAATAATGAGCCTCTGATGTATAGGAAAGGGACTGTGTTGATATGGCAAAAGGTAATGCTGTTTTGTGCAAAGAAAAGTGGAGGTCAGAAAGACCAAAGCCTGTGCCCATCCCAAGCTTTGTCTGGCCTACCACATGTGTGCAGATGGGATTCCAGTCACTAACAGGAATTAGATCTTTTTAAAAATGAAATGCTATATATTATTTTGGATGCTGCTTTTGTCAGCGCTAATTTTGTCAGTTTGCTAGTGATCTTTGTGGTCTAAGTGGCATCACAGATTTTAGAATTAGTACACTTATTTTTCTGGGTCCTAAGCTCTCCAAAATAAAACCCTATAAAGGGGTACACTGCAGATAGAAGGATTTTTGCATTCAAAGAACATTTCTTCCACACTGGATAGTATCATTAAATAGCCCATCCATCCCATGACAACTATAATATGAGGCAGTAAAAGATGTTGTATATGAGGATTCTGTCACTTGCAGAATATTCTGGAGAGTCCCCGGATATTCATACTTAACAAATATTCTGTAATAAGTCTGTACATTTACCTAAATTCTTATTTCCACCAATATTTTCCCTCTGTACCAGCTTCTGAGCATAATGATTTCTCTAAATTTATCTCCTTCCATGTAAAGTAGTTTTTCTTTTTAATGAATGTTTTCAGGTGTTAAATGGTGCCTTAAGAATTAGTCATCCCACTGGCAGCTTCAGCTTATTAGTATTTTTAAAGCACATTTGCTTTTTAGCACAGGCTTGGATACTTCTTCATACAGATGAGAGAGCAGAAATACCTTTAATTCTAAAGTTATTGCTAATAAGGAACATGGAATCACTCCTTTGTTCCTAAGATCTCCTTTCAGAATATAGCAACATAACTTTTTAGAAGTTTTTAATTGTAAACAAATTCATAGATGTTGAGATATGTATACCTGTATATCTACCTGACAAATATATATCACTCAGGAGTAAATAAAGTAAAAGTAAACTTCCCTCATATCCCCCTCTTCTCTCCCAAACCCAGTTAACAGTGTCAATATTTTAACTTTTACCTATAGGTGGGTGAAGTCACAACAAAAGAAGTTACACTGCCAGCAGAAATGGAAGGAAAAAAGATGGCAGTGACCCGAACCAGGACAAAGCCGGTGCCTTTATATTGCGATATAATCGGGGATGCTTTTTGGAAGGAACATCCAGAGATCCTAGATGAAGACAGCTGATGCTTTGCTTTTTATCCCTGGCATGCTTAACCATGCAAAACCCCCTAAGTCTCCTGGCCTTAGGTGCCCTGGGATCCCTACTACCAAGAACAGTGTGCCAATAGTGACACATGACTGGTTCGAAAGGGAACAGGGAAAGAAGGGATGGATAGGGGTGGTTATCTTGTTCTGCTTTAAGAAGAACTTTTTTTTTTACAATGTTGGAACATGGTTCCTTCTGTAGAAGTGCATTTTTTTTTTAATCGTGGTGCTATTTTTATAAAGCAAGAACTATTTTATGCCTTGCAGAATGAATCATTTTTAGATTGTGGCATAAGTCTTATAAAAACTTGTCAAGCTTTTTCCACCTATGATAGAACATGAATCCAAACTTTACTCTCAACCACCTGTTCTTAACTACAAAATCCACTAACCTTGAAAATCTCACCTTTCCTACCCGTGTACTTTGACCTGGAGATAAATAATAGGTTGGTGGCTGCACAAAGCCTCTGAATTCAGGAATTCCAGGGAGAATCCGGGTTTTGTGCTAGTTTCCAAGTTGGCATCTTTGGCTGAACAAATTTGTAGTTTGGAAGTCCTTGTGTAAACATTCCATAGATTGATTTTGTGGAGTTGTCAGCATGATCATTGTCTCACCAAGGGTATTTTCAAGGCCACTTACCTCTTTCTAAAAAGAAAGAGAATTATGTGTATATGAGAAAAAGAAAGTGTGAGGATGAATGAATAATGAGGAAAAAACATTGATTCCGTGTCCTCTAAATACTTGTTTTAAAAGGTACCTTCCTGCTGGACTTCCTGAAAAGGATTCTCAGGTAGCCTCTATGTAATCAGAACACTGACATTTGAATTAGCAGAGTGGTCAACACTCCCCTTGGGGTCACAACTGGCAGGTGTCCTGGACACCTAATAGTTCCACCTGCTGATGGGCCAGTGTAGATGGGGGAGGAGCAGCAGAGAATGGCAGCAGTAATGGCACATTGCCAAGTTGCTGGCCTCTGAAGCCAGGGGTCCCCCCTCTGAAGTGAGGATAGGTGGTGAGAGAACTCACGTTGCCTGTTGTCCTCGTTTCATATTTCAGAGGAAGATTATTTGGCTCTATTAAGAATTATTTAAGGGGCGCATGGATAGCTCAGTCAGTTAAGCATCTGCCTTCAGCTCAGGTCATGATCTCAAGGTCCTGGGATCGAGTCCCGAGTCAGGCTCCCTGCTCAGCGGGGAACCTGCTTCTTCCTCTCTGCCTCCTGCTCTCCCTGCTTGTGCTCTCTCTCTGACAAATAAAATCTTTAAAAAAAAGAACTAATTGAGCGGCAGCCTACACTTTAGTGCCTGGCCTTGCATTACAGAATTTACAGCCACAAAGAAAATGTATTTTTGAAGGCAACGGCTGGTCTCCTCCTTCACTAATTGATACCTCATCTGTCAGAATCATTTTTTTCCCTTCCTGTTCTTACTACACAGGAAGAGAGAATTTGGTACTTGTTTGGTAATTGATAAAATCTCTGGGAAAGAAAAAAGGTTTCAACACCCTTTGCGTAGTTTTTCATTTATTTTTCTCATACAAATACAGTATATGAATCCAACTTTTATATATATGTGTCTTTACATAAGCCAGGATAAATGTACCTTCATCACAGCAGTGATTCACAGACTTCTGCATACAAAAATGTACTTGGAATGCTTGTTTTAAGTGCTATTCCAGCCTCCACCTCTCCCCCTGTGAAGATCTGAGGTTTGCTAATCGGATTTTTAACCAAAAAGGCTTCTGCTGCCTATGGTGGGTGATACATGGCACTTTGGGCATCATGGCCCTCAGTATACTACGATAGGCCACATGAGGCAATAAGGTAATGTAGCTCCTGACTGGCCAGTGTAACATAATGGTAAGTAAATGGATAGCATTATATGTCAAAATTTATATAAATTATATCTATATAGGTATCAATTATATAGATAAATTTAAACATAGGCATTAAAGTACAGACTTTCAGGACAAAACCACCCAAAGAAATGTGCTTCCTGTGGGTGCTGTAATACTACCAAGGCTCAATTTTGTCATAAGATAGGGGGACGAACACTTAGTCATTGAACTAGCAGCAGTTTGCAGCTTTGTTTATTGTTTGGGCAGAAGTTTTGAGCAAAGCAATAGATGTTTAATAGTCCTACCATAACTAAACCCGTAGTGCTCTTAGGAACCCCTTTTGATGGCTTTTCTTTGTTGCAGCATGTGTTTCCAGTGTTTCACAGTTGTGTATTAATTTTCGTCTTGCTTTCTAAGGTAGAGAATAGCATTTTCTTGGGCTTTCCAAAGCTTAAAGAAGTGTCAAAACAAGAAAGAGCTAGTATAGAATTAACACTAGTTGATAGTTTGGGAGAGTGGTGGCAAGGAAGGTGATTTGTATGACTTGTAGGTAACTGGAAACATCTTGGCTGTGCTGGATTGGGGGTAATATCTGGCCTTCTGTATAGACTTTCATTTTAATATCAAAAAGCAAAAATGTTTTGCTGAAGATGCTGTGTTCATGCTAAAAAATAAGTGGTACAACCAGGTCTTGTAAATCTTCATCATCCTGGCTTCCAAGAGCTGTTTTCCTAGTTTCCTCCACTTGCCTAAGCAGTGCTCGGAAAATCAGTGATACAGTGAATTTTCTTTAATACTAAGGTCGTTGTGGTATTAATGCAAATTACTTTTTGCATAGGGTGTCGGAAATGGAGGACTGGGATCCAACCATCCTTCATTGTCTACTTAACCAATACTAGCTAACATAGTTTCATTGTCTACTTAACCAATACTAACTAGCTAATAGAGCATTTATATGCTCTCTATGCAGTATCTCTTCATTCTTAGGAGAATTCTGTAGGTTAGGTAGTATTTCTATCACATTTCAGGTGATAATGTAAAGACCCAAAGAAGCGAAATAATTTGAGCCCAGGTAGACTAACCCCCAGTGAGACTCGCATGAAAGCAGATTGGGACTGCCCTCTTCCAGCCTCTTCCCATCAGCTCTAGCTAGGAGTGTACTGCAGTTTGAGAGCAGAGAAACGCCTAGGGAGGCTTGTTAAAATGCCAATTCCAAGATCCACCCCCGGGGAATCTGGAGTATTACCAAACACCCTAAGTGATAATGATATACATGGGGAAACACTGCGTTCAAACAGATTATAATCTGTTACCCGAGCGCTGTGGCGGGCCGGCGGGGCTGAACGCGAACAGATGCTGCCCTCCGGCGGTCGCGCTGGCGCAGTGCAACCCCAGGCTGCGGCTGCGCAGTGCCGCCCTCTGGCGGCTCCGCTCCTTCTTCCCATCGGCCTCGGCTTGCGGGCCTTTCAAACATGGAGGAGCGGGAGCGGGGGGCGAGGTCGGCTCTCGCCGGGAGCCCCGCGCGCCCGCCCAGCCCGCGGCTGGATGTCAGCTCTGACAGCTTCGACCCTTTGCTGGCCCTGTACGCGCCCCGCCTGCCGCCCATCCCCTACCCCAACGCACCCTGCTTCAACAACCTGGCCGAGTACGAGAGCTTCCTCAGGACCGGGGTTCGGGGCGGCGGGCGCGGGCGGGCGCGGGGTGCGGCCGCGGGCTCAAGGGTCCCCGTCGCCGGGCTCTCAGCCAGAACCCGTCGTCGCCAGGACGCCCCCGCTCCAGACCCTGAGCGAATCCAGCGCCTCCGCCGCCTCATGGTGGCCAAGGAGGAAGGGGACGGGGCCGCCGGGACGCGCCGGCGGGGTCCGGGTCGGAGCAGGAAGGCGCCGCGCAACGTGCTCACGCGAATGCCCTGTGAGTCCGGCGGGGGAGGACGGGGCGGGGCGGTGGCGGGGGGGGGGGACGAGGGCCCAGCCGGCTGCCCGGAAGGTGGTGGCCCACGGGGTGTTTGCAGGGTGCTAGGGGCTTGGCGCAGGTTCGCACGCGTTAGGGGGAGGGTCTTGGTGAAGGTTGCGGAGCTAATCCGCCACCGTGAGGAGGTTCTGCTTGAGTCCTGCGGATAATGGGGACGTGGGGAGGGTCTTCTGGAGTAATCAAAGGTCTGCTTGAGCGGGGAGGTGGGGGTGGAGAGTGCTAAGGCTGTAGAGGTAATAAGGAGCCACGGGAGGGGTCTGTGTGGATAACGGGTGTAGGTCCGCGGAGGTAGCTGGGTCCGTGGAAGTGGCTACAGAGGTGAAGAAGAGCCTGCAACGAGGGTCTGCAACGAGGGTCTGCGGGTGTGATGGGTATCTGGAGAGGTGGTGGGGATCTGGAGAGGTGGTGGGGCCCGGAAACGGGACATCACAGGGAGGATCTGCGGAGGTGATGAGAGGTCTTAGGGACCACAGCCAGAGGGGAGGGGTACAGCCAATATTAAGGAAAGGAGAGTGTTTAGTTAGTGGGATTGGGGATGATGGGACGGAGTGTGGGGAGATCTATCTGTTCAGTTAGAACAGGGAACATAATCGCATAACCCCTGCACATTAAGTGACATCTCCTTCCAGGGTGCTTATAGGAGAGGGGCTACTGGGTCTTGATACACATATGTTTGCATTACCAAGTCACAAGTGCTGGAATGCAGCAGGGACAAATGCCACTAAAACCCAGACACTGTTTCACAGCCACTCTCCCAGTATGGGTGCAGGAGTGTGTCTGTCAGGCTAACATTACCATATGCACAGGTTATTTTAAGTTCTGAAGGTGTAAATGACACAAGGAAATCTCTTGGAGCTTCCTAATAGATCCTTAGAGTAAAGCTGTAAACAGGGAAGGTTGCTAATGTGTGAGTTAGGTCTTAAACAAATGGAGTAAAAACAGCCCAGGGTTATGTCTTTTGTCATCTGGCAAGCATTTCTGACATCTGCCAGTGAACACAATGACCTAGTTAGCCATTCAAAGCATCTGTATCCTGATAGCTAAATTGTAACATTATTAAATCACTGTTTTTAGAATAGAGGGTTGTCCGAAGCAAGGGAATATTTTGTTTCATTCCTAGACGTGTTTATTAAGAGAGAAACATCCTGAAAAGCTGTGTGCTGTTAGATGTATCTTTGTCAGATCATTTACTGTGACACACAATACCAAAGCCTTCTTTCCAAAGCTAGGGTGCCCGCCAGCTTGCTTGCGCAACAGTAACACAAAGATAAAGTATGCATGTTCCTAAAATAAGAGCAGTTTGGGAGACCTTATTGCCACTATCAGATCTTGGAAATGCACTCCAAGTGTCAGATTGTAACATTTATTTCCGTTTTGCCAGTTGTTGCTTTGCTACAGAGATTGTCAAGGGAAAGACATATTTCTTTGTGGGAGTGGTTTTAGCTTTACCTATGGAGCACTCTGCTATATTGGTATGACAGAGCATGAAAACCAGCTTTGTTGATTTCCAATGATTAAATATATGCCTGGAATCAAGATCTCAGAATGTGCCATAGGCATTGAAAATTTTAATCACATCACTAGAAACAGTTGAGTGTACATGATAGAGATGGGTAGACATCACAGAGAACTGATGAGCTTCAGAAAGCAAGAAGAGTACAGGGGTATCTGGATGTCTCAGTTGAGCGTCCAACTCTTGATTTAGGCTCAGGTCATGATCTCAGGGTTGTGAGATTCAGCCTGAGTCCTGCCCTGCCTTGGGCTCCCCACTCAGCAGGGAATCTGCTTCTCTCCCTCTCTCTCCCTCTGCCCTTCCCCCTGCTCACGCACACTCTCTGTCTCTCTAAAATAAATAAATGAATCTTTAAAAAACAAAAAGGAAGAAAGCAAGAAAAGTACAGAAGCAAGGGTGAAGATTAAATTTATTCAGAAAGAGTTCCTAGAAGAGATTGGCTTCAGGTCTCAAAGTTAATTTAAGGAAGTGCATGGTTGAGGATAACAGTAATTATTTAATAGGCTATTGAGGTATAATTTACACATAACAAAATTCACCCCTTTAAAATGAGTTTTTGACAAATGTATAGTTGTGAAATTACCACCACAATTAAGATACAGAACAAATCATCACCCCAGAAAGTTCTCTCATGCCCCTTTTTAAGTCAAGAGACAATTTTATTGTTGCTAATTGTGGCTACTGTTATTTAGCTGGTAAGTGCTGTGCACTTGCCAAGCCCTTTAGATGCATTTTATCTTATTTTACCTTTAGATACTACTTTACAAATGAGGTCCGCTGAGCTTAACTACTTGCCCAGGATCACATGGCTAGTTAGTTTGCATCTGAGACTTAATGCTGGGTTGTCCAACTCCAGGGCCTGTGTGCCAGGGCAATTATGCTAATCTCAGGTAAGGGAAGAGGGGAGTACATTCTAAATTCTCATTTTTCTTTGCTTGCTTCTGAAGAATGGTGTGTGGAGGGTGCCACATAAGTGAGGCAGAAAGGTGTGTGTCTAGAGCAATGAGAACTGAATTTGGGTCCAGAGAAGGATTTGTTAAAAACACTTTGAAGACCAAAGAGTTTCTCTTTGACTTTGTTGATAGATAGTGGGAACCATCGTGTATATTCTTAAGCGAGAAAACTTTTAGGGCAACCTTTCTAATAACTTACTTTCTAGTGGTAAAGTGTATTTGGGGAAGTGTAGACCACAGACTCAAGGGTTTGACTGCTGGCTTTTTTAGTTTTGAACACTGGCTCCTGCACTTTCTATCTGTTTTACAGTAGGCAAGTCACTTAAACTCTTTGGGGCCTCCGTTTCCTCATCTGTAAAGTGAGGACAGTAATAGTATCTACCTACAGTTGTTAGTTGTTAGTTAAGCTAGTTAACCCATTCATAGCTCTTACATGTAGGGAAATTCTCAATGAATCTTAAATGTCACTGCGATTATTGTAGATTATTGTTGTGGTTATTGTTTTAGACTGTCATAATTAAAAACTTCAGGTCAGGATGTATATATACCCTGCCTGTATTGGGTGTTGGCTCAGCTGTTTACTAGGTAAATAACCTTGAGAAATTGTTTAAGTAAACATTTCTGAGCCTTATTTTCCTCATATATAAAGTGGGGCACAATAATAGTACCTATGTGTTAAAGTTGTGAGGATTAAATAAAATAACATGCATAAAGTTAAACTTACCCCAAGGCCTGGCTCATACCGAGTGCTCAGTAATTGATGATAATGATGGTGTCAGGGATGATGTGAGGGGAACTGGGAGACTAGACTAGACAGATAATAAGCCAATCATCTGATAAGGCTCTGGACTATATTATTGATTGGAGAAGGAGAAAGGAAAGGGTATGTCTTAGTTATTGAGAATCTATTGTTTGAGCTTAGTGTGGCCACAAGTAGGGAGAGGAATGGAGTTAAGAATGACCTGGCTTTGGAAGGTTGGGGGCTAAGAATAGTGGCAATGGAGAAGGAGATCTGGAAGAATAACAATCTTCAAAGATAAGGCATATGTTTTTTTGTTGTATTAAATTTTAGAAGACTGGCTCATATATCCATTTGGAGTTTGTTATACAGACTGCTAGAAAGAGATCAGAATGTGCATTCTGATTCAGAATGTGGAGCTCATTTTTGCCTTGGCAGTTTGCTGTGATAGGTGGTGCTAGTGTTATATTTTTGATCGCACAAGGAGTGAGGTGATTCCTGGAATTGCACCTTATTAAATCTTTGGAAGGAAAAAAAAAAGAGAAAAGTACAGATATGAGAGTTGAAAGACCCGAGTTTATCATTTGTTTAACCAGAATAAGGAAACTGTTGTTACCATGTGTGTGTGTGGTTTCTCTCTGGTTTGGGGGCTCGGGGGGGGGGGGAAGTAGTACCTCTATTCATTTACAAGTTAGAAAAAGAATGGTGTTTAAGAAAAGAATGGTCTTTCCACTGTTGGTGGAAACACATGCAGGGGTGAGGGGAAGCAGGGAATGTGTATAGCCAAAGAAACTGATTCAGGCAGTATGATCAGTTTCTAAGAAATTGAATTATAGAGACTTATTCCTGAAATGAATCTAGAAGATAACTAGTCTAACCTCATTTTATGAATAAGGAAACTCAGACTTGTGGAGAAAAAGTTACTCAGACATTCAAAGAATTTCAAAATACGCTATTGCTAGAGCAAGGGTAGATGATGAAGATCAGACCAAGGTGCTTATGTTCCTTTCCAAGGCCTCTGTTTCTGCCACCCTGCCTTCAACTGTGCCTTCTTGCTAAATTTTCAATCTGAAATAAACTCCTGCTTCTCATCTGCTAAGTTACTTTCTTCAAAGAGGATTTTCTTTTATTAATTTATCAGTGCCATCATTTATAAGCTGACCTATGAGTGAGGGATAAGGAGGTACAGAGTAACCTGCTCAGTCATTCAGACTGGAGTTGTCTTTCATGCCACCAGAAAGAAAACAAATCTTTTTTGTGTTTACTATTGATAGCAATAATCAATCTCGAGACTTTCGCCTTGCAAACCTGGGAGGGAAAGACTGAGACTGTGTATGTGTGAGTGTGAGTGTAAGAGTGTGTGTGTGTGCACATGTGGTTTTCTTTTGGAAGGTTTTATATAGTATAGCCATCATATCGTGAAGGCTAAGTTTACGTGGAGTAATAAAAATAAAATTCATCTCTCTTCCCAAGCTCTGAAAAAAAGATCCATCATAGTAAAGACTGCAGTTTATAGTCCCAGCATTCTTCCCATGAATTGTCCTACTCTTTTTATGTGATGCTTATCAGCAATCTCATAGGAGCCTAATGCCTAGCAGGTGCCTTTGTATCAGCCAGGCTTGGAATGCAACCAGGTCTCTAACTTCTACTTTAAAGATGATGTACATTGGAATCCAGTGGCTCCAGAGAGCTTAGGCATGGAGGGTCTTCAGATGGGCGGCCAAAAGTTCATTCTCTCTTAGAGGACTGCACATATTTAAGGGCAGGTGTGTTACATTGTTTATTTCCTTTAAACATATGAACAAGTTGTTTGGTTTTGGGTTTTTTTGGTAAAGAGTGAAGCTGGATATGTGGTTCATGAGAATTATCCTTAAAAAACTTGTCTTGGGACACCTGGGTGGCTCAGTCGGTTAAGCTTCTGCCTTTAGCCCAGGTCATGATCCCAGAGTCCTGGGATTGAGCCCCACATCGGGCTCCTTGCTCAGCAAGGAGTCTGCTTCTCCCTCTGCCTGCCACTTCCCTGGCTTTTGTTTGCACGGTCTCTATCTCTCTCTGACAAATAAATAAATAATCTTAAAAAAAAAAAGTTATTTTACCCAGATACAAAACTGAGAAGAATTTTGCTGCTGATGTGTACATTTAATGTGGGGTTTTTCCCAGAAAAACATTTTTAAATAATGGTGCATCTTAGAATCAATGACATCATAGAACGCAGGATATATGAGTAGTGAAACATTTGGGTGATAGCCAAACGTACCCTTTATCTCCATTCTGGTGGAATCTTGCCTTATTTCAGTGTATGTTGTCTGTACTAGTTATGTTGCCCACTGGGCCTTCCTGTTTCCATAGTGAGGTTGCCACTGCACCATGTTGCCTAATGTTGCTGGAGATGGTTGGGTGGTCTTGGTTGTTAATTCTGGGAATGAGAGCAGATGTTCATGCTATGCTTACTGTTTTTGTCTTGTTTCAGTGCATGAAGGCAGCCCTCTGGGTGAGCTCCATCGTTGTATCCGGGAGGGAGTGAAGGTGAATGTTCACATCCGCACTTTCAAGGGGCTTCGGGGCGTCTGTACAGGCTTTCTCGTCGCATTTGACAAGTTCTGGAATATGGTAATTAAGCCTTTCTCAAGGGGTTGGAGAACCTCCTAGGGATTAAATCTTTTCTATGTCTAAATGACCTGAGTAACCTTATTTAGGAAAACCTATAGAATAACTTCCCAGAAAAACTAGAATTTTTGCATTCTCCTGGCCAACAACAAAAGAGTACTTTCTATTGCTTCCTTTTCTTTAAAGCATTGGCTTTCAACCAGGGTAGTTTTGCCCTTCTCTCCTTCCTAGGGACAATTGGCAATGTCTGGGGACATTTTTTTAATTGTCACAACTGTGGCATGGGGTATTATTGGTATCTAATGGGTAGAGGCCAGAGGAGTTGCTGCACATCCTACAATACACAAGATAGCCCCCCAACAACAAAGAGGTATCTGGTCCAAAATGTCATTAGTGCTGTGGTTAAGAAACCCAGCCATAAGGAATAATTATTTATTTCAGCGGTTTAGTAATTTTATATCAATTTCCTACTGACCATTCTTTCATTCATTTCAAAATATTTACTGATTTTCCACTTTGGCTGGTACTTTACCAGTACTAGGTACAGAAATTTCAGAAAGGAACTTTCACGCTACAGTTTTGGAAAGATAGATGAAGATAGAGGGGAAGCCGGCATACTAATAAGTAAGGTACTTTATATGGTGTTTCCTTATGAAGGAAATGCGCCCCCACTCTCTTAGAGGCTTACTGCCTGCTTACTAGACATTTGTAGGCGTGAACAGACATTATAGCACAACTACAATATGAGGCAGTTAAAAAGAAGAAACACCAGGCTTTCTGGTGTTTCTTTTTCATATGGTCTTCCATCTCCAACTTTTCTTTTTCCTGCGTTTTATCTTCATCCATGCATTCTCCTAGATGAGTATAGTAGTTGCTGCCATTTATTAAGCACTTAGCATTTGCTGGATAGTGTACTAAGGGTTTATCTCAATGAATGAGGTTTACTACTGTTCCATTTTTACAAATGAAGAAATTGAGGTTAGAGATACTGAATGATTGGCCCAAATTACCCTGTTAGTAAGTGGAGGTCCTAGAACTTTATTCCAGGTCTTTCTGACTCCTAAAATCATGTTTTCAACCACTGTGCAATCAGAAGACCTGGATTTGAATCCTAGCTTTACCACTTGGTAGTTGTGTTACTCTAGGCAAGATAATTTCTCTGAGGCCCACTTTTCTTATATCTAAAATGTAGGGAAAAGTACTTTACTGTTAAAATTTTACCTTTGAAGGAATAGTATTTAAGAGAACATCTTTGCTATGATGGTCATAATAATGATCCTGTCAGTTTATATTTGTAGGGTGAGTTATACTTTTCAAATTTATTTATCATACATGATCTCATTTGATCCTAAATAGCTATCCCATGAGGTTTATCTCTCAGAGACAAAAATTCAACAATTCTGTATATAACCCTGGTTGTTAATACCAGTTCATTGCTGTCATAAGACCTAGAAAATGAGGAGTGAAAAGAAGCAGTAGAATAGTGTTTCCTCCAAGTGCAGCCTAGGGGCATCCTACATCACAATCATGGAGTTTCTGGTTAAAACAGAAAATTCCTGGGCTTTATCCCAGACCTACTGAGTCAGCATATCTAGGAAGTAGCTTTGGATTTATATTTTAATAAGCTTCCTAGATACTTATGCACCCTGAAATTTAAGAACCTCTACCAAGCATTTGTAAAGGCCCCTTACCATAGACAAAACCCATATTATATGGTGGTAGCAGTTTGGAAATCTTACTCAGGGTGCCAGGTATTACCATTTTTTTCTGCCCAAGAGTGGAGTCACTTGTTAAGTTTCGTTCTGCTAAATGAGATGTTTATTCTGCTTTTTAAATTTTTTCCTGGAAGCTGTAAAACTAATATTTTTAATTCTGCCAAATTTTTTTCTCCTTTGGGCTGTTTCTCTAGGCACTTACTGATGTGGATGAGACCTACCGAAAACCTGTTCTAGGCAAAGCGTATGAGCGGGATTCTTCATTGACTCTCACTAGGGTAGGCTGTTTCCCCTGACTTCCTGAGTACCCAGTGTGCTTTCCAAGCTTAGAAATGGAGATCACTGAGCCTGGTGAACAGGTTTTCCTAGTGGGAGAGCTCATTTGCTGTCCACTATGTATGCCTGGACCAAGATCTTCATTAGTCTCGCTTCTCATGCATTCAGCTTATCACAAATGAGTCTGCTTTTGACCTGCATAGTATTTGAGCAACAAGTTACCTCTTATAACCTTAAAAGTCTTTCCATTTTATACCACAGAAAAAAGCAGGTGCCTTTTCTCTTGGCATTATTGATTTATCTGTATTATGGCTACACACAGATGATTTATTACTAACTTTTTAAAAATTGCACAGCAAGGAGTCTATAAAACCTAATTAAGCAATCTGGTGTTTTTTTCTATATTGAAAGAGGGATGTTGAAGGCTAAAGAGAAGGCTGATATTTATGATTGCTTTCCTTATAGCTGTTTGATCGTCTAAAACTTCAAGATTCCTCCAGAAAGGAAGCAGATTCTAAGTCTGCAGTTGAAGACTCCACTCTGTCCAGATATTCCCAGACATCTACTTGGAAGATGGCTTCAGTGTGGGGAAGAGAAGATACTGACCGGGGCTCACGCAGGCGCTCCCGCTCCGTCCCTTCTTCCCTGCAGGCGTCTGCAAGGGAGGAGTCCAGGTCAGAGATGTCAGGGAGGACTACACGGACAGAAGGGTCAAGTGCAGGAGGTACCTTTTCCAGGGCTACCACCCTTTCCAGGGGCCAGCCCCGTAAGAAAAAGCGAAAGCCCAAAGTGGATTACCAGCAGGTATTCACTCGACACATAAATCAGATTTTCATTAGAGGCGAGAATGTCCTCCTGGTTCATCTTGCACAGTGACCAGCTTGGCCTCACTGGAGCTTTGGTTTTTAGAAATAAAATGCATGAATTGCTGCTATGCTGTATAATAGTATCCCAGTGAAACTCTGAGTTGGAATGATTCCCTCTGGTCCTGCATGTGCAGAGCATAGAGCCAAGCTCCAGCCCTCTGGAAGATGAGCTCCCTCAAGGGGACACAGGCCTTAGGAGGGTGGGTATTTGCATTAATATCAAGTCAGAAGCTGTACAGAGGAAACAACATGCATCTTATTTGGTGTCATGCTCGAGTTTAGACACTCAAACCAAATATCAAATCTTCATTTGAATTAGGGGTCATGGTATGAATTAAATTCATCCCACAGATACTAAAAGGATGGGAGGGAAAAAACACCTCAAAAAATGATTTCATTTCTAAAAGCTAGTGCCTAAGTACTCATGAATTTGATTCTAAGAGTAGTAATATAAATTTCCCTGTAGTCTTGTACCCCCAACTTGTAACTGACCTTGGAATTTTGCTCTACACCATTCTCTTTTGATCAAGAAATGTAATTTATTACCTTTGAAAATCTATAAAACTAAGAAAGCTACCACCTTATGGAAGAGTAAAATTTGGATAGCTGGTATGCTCAAAGCAACCAACAATGAATATTCTCTTTTTACCCCTCTCATTATTTAAAGGGATACAGGACTTCAGCAGTCTTCCCCACTTAGTAGAGGTAGCTTCTGAGAATGGCAAGCCAGATGGGACTAGAAGATGCTCACGAGGTGGCTTCTTGTCCTTCTCTCACTTCTATGGCATGGTGCTAGTGCATGTACCCAGTGTATTGCCCTTCTGTATATGTAGTGTGAACTGTTCCATGAGCTTTATGGCAGGTGACTATGACCTTCATATCTGGCTTCAAAGAGTTCTGCAGGAACTCAGTAGTACGTATGTATCACATGGTTGAGAGTTCCCTTTCCGGTTAGGGCTGGCCTGTGTAGACTAACTTTCAGAATGGTATTTCCATGAAACAGGAATGGTAGTTTTATTCCCTGGTGTCATGCCGAAGAGGTTCTTACAGAGTACAGTGGGTGGCATCTCTAAGGGACACTTTACTCACAGCCTGGCTTGAGTAATGAGAACACTGTAGCACCCTCTGATACTTCTACTTGAATCATAATATATGCTTTTTCAATCACTAGTACAGAATAGGCTACATCTAGACACAGACTGTTAGGCAATATTGATTTTTTGTTTTGCTTATATTTGGTTTTATTTTAGAATAACTTATGTTCAAAGTGGGAATAAGAAATAGCTAACTAGGGCGCCTGAGTGGCTTAGTTGTTGAGCGTCTGCCTTCGGCCTGGGTCATGATCCCAGGTTCCTGAGATCGAGCCCCACATCGGGCTCCCTGCTCAGCAGGAAGCCTGCTTCTCCCTCTCCCACTCCCTCTGCTTGTGTTCCCTCTCTCGTTGTGTCTCTGTCAAATAAATAAAATCTTAAAAAAAAAAAAGAAATAGCTAACTAGTTAAAATGTTTGAAAAAAAAATTCCCTGCTGTAATTTTTCTGTAACTTAGGTAAGCCTTCTGAGAAGCAGGGTGAATAATGTTGAGGGAGTTAGGACACCTGGTCCTTCTGCTAGCTGGGCCACTGGCTTGTCATGCAATGAAAGGAGAGCAGACTTAACCCCTCCGTGCCTCAGGTTTTCCCATCAGACACCTACCTCACAGAGGCACTGAGACAAAGAATTTATGTCTCTAAACATATTTAAGTGCCATGAGTAACTTTTACTAACTATATTTCATAGCTTGGTAAGAGTTCTATGTCTTATGAGCAAGGTAGGTGCTACATGTGAAAGTCATCTCTGTAGGTGTCATAATTATGAACTTGTCCTCAGAAGGCAGTGGTATCTTCAGGAACTGTTTTCCATAATCCATTCCTTTCTCCTAAAGGACAATGGAAGTTCTTAGAAGACTATCCTCAATAAAAGAAGAGTAACGTTTCTTTGCTGCTTCCCTCACATCCCAGGCCCACCCCTTTTCTGTTCATCGTCAGAAAGAATTCCCCTTTCCCCTGAACTTTTCAAGGGGTTTGTATGGTAGTACCAAAGGGACAATGCACATCTAAAAATGACACATCCCCAAAGGGGAATTGTGGAAGATGTTTTGTTTCGTTTACTTGTTTTTATTTTAAAATGCATTGTAAATATTCCTCTTTAGAGCCATATCAGATAGAATAAACATTTAGAGAGGTTCCATGTTACAAAGTCAAGCAATTATCTTTGGAATCTGCTCATCTAAATCCTCTTCTAAATAGTATGTCTAAAATCTCAGTTCCTCAGTTAATAGTTACCTTGTTTAATCATCAGGCACCCCTGCCTCTACCTCTTTACCAGTCTTTCCTGTTAGATGTCCTCCTCTGTTGCCCTTCTGTCCCTCAGCTAGAAGCTGCAGTAGATACCAGGTTTTCCCAATAAAGTAAAAGTTTGGTATCAAAAGGAACATATCAGTTTCCATTCATTTTAGTGCCTGACTAAATCTAACGTGATTTATTTTAAACACATGCTGCATTTTCATGTTTGTATATAATTTTCATATGTCCAGATAATGATTGGTTTGCTACTTTTCTGTCCAATCTAATAATTCTGGCTCTGAAAATTATTTTAAGCTCATGTGATCATTCTGATGTGCCCATATGCCCCCATTTGTTGGTTTGGTTTGGACAGTGATTCTAGGATGAATACTATTTAGTAAATGTGCTGTTTTGTACAAAGTATGACAGTTCTTTTTCAGGGAAATCAATTTTTAAAATTATTGCCTTTTCTTTATTATTGTAGAAATTTTTCAAAAGGAAGAAAAAATTGGTTCTAATAACCTGTGTGCTGCTCAAAATATGTCATCACCTAGAACATTATAATAAGTTGCTATGAAAATAACTGAAGTCTTCCTCAGGAGAAGGAAAGAAAAAGAGAAAGTAACAGCCAGAATGGTAGAGTTCTGGAGGCCCCCACGAGCTCACTTGAGGGGGGCCCTACACAGCTGAAATGCAACAAAACTGGTTTCTGGCATTCTCCAGGGATTTGGGCTTAGGACAATTGGTAGGAATAGGACTTACTTTTGAACATCCAATTTGGGTTCTTCACACAATCTCTAGACATGGGAATCTGTTTCCAAGACAGTTCATGGGGTGTACCTGTGCCCTTCTCAAGGTCTTCTCAGGAGCACTGAGCAACGGGAGATGTGGTTTCATACCCAGAATGATTCCATGTGCCATTCTTTGTACACAGAGGTGATTCTATGCCTCTACCACCAGGAGAACTTCTGCTTTACATTGTTTGTTCTAGTACTTGGGAAGCATTTATGCTCCGTTCAGAGACCATCTTATGATGGTGGGCCATTTGTGAGATGGTTAGCCAGCGTTAGCAGTGTCTAAGGCAGATGGCTTTAGACTAGTCGGTTCCTTGTTCTCTGTGCATGGTGCATATCAAGTCAGAAAGCCTAGAAACCATTCGCATTAAAGTCTAGATGCATGAGCATCCTTGCTCTGAGTTGTTAGTGGGTCAGGAGGGGCTTCATCTCTCCTTGTGGTAAAATTATCCAGGAGTACCTTTAGAGATTGTCAAGGCATGAACTATGAGCTGTCTTTAATCCTCAGAAGCTGTGTACAGAAGTCAAGGTATACCACTTACCCCTTGAGAGAAAAATAGAACCCTAACTTGATGCTGAGGGGTTTTGTATTTCTATTTGCACTATCCCCATAGCCACTGACATGGGCAAAATCATGAAATAGAATTGATTCTGTAAATTTTCTCTTAATTTTTGCCTTTAGGAAAAATTAAAATTCTTCAAAGACAGTTAGCTGTCACTGGTGCTGCCCCAAAGCTTTCCCATTTGTATGTATTTTTTATGAATGAAATGGTTGCTACAGGAAGGCCAAGGTTCACCTAGGAGTATCATGGTATAAATATAATGGTTTAGCAACTGTTTTAATTTTTCTTTTCCTGTGCCAGATATAGACTACAATCAACCGCTTTTCAGTAGCTTCTGTTCACCAGCCTATGTCTTCCTGGGCAGTAACTCCCAGATGCTTTTCTTAGTGATTATAAAGCGAGAAAATCTTATCTGGGCCTATATTGCAAAGGTGGGTGGTCTACTTTCTGGTAAATTGAGTTGATGGATTTTAGATAAGCCTTTGGGGTTCCTGTCACTGGTTCCTGGGCTCTGAGGAAGGGTTGCACCTCTTTTACTCTGAGTGTTTTGAGTATTTTTCAAGTGTTTGTAAGTTCTCTTACCCTCCTCTAATAAAAATGAAAGCTATCTGTCAAGGAATGGCTTTGGATGGTTCAGAGATCTGGGGGAAAAGAAATAAGTACACCTGAGACATTCAGTTGGTCTTTTATTTATTTAGAATGAAAAGTAGTTTGATAAGCTCCCAGACTTAGTGCTGCTTTAAAAACACTCTCTGAAAAGATGGCAACTGTCCCTCAGGAAAGCCATAAAAGCTACTCCCAATACATCGCAATTGCTTTTGATTTTTAGTCCTTTGGAGCAAATGTCTGATGTTATGTTTTTAGAGCTGTGGGGGGAAAATGTCTAAACAGTTTTAGGGGATAGTATTGAAATGATTATCTGGCTGAATTATGTGTGAACTAGATTCTAGGGCAGCTGTCCAGGTCTTTTTCTGTTGTCCTGACAGTAACACAGGTAGTGAGCCGTGTCTTAAAAAGTGATTTGCTTATTTCCTACTAACATCTAAAGACATTAGCCTTCTGTTTGGCAACCCTGGGGATGCCCCTCTGCACCGTGACTTATTAATGTTTTTTTAGACAAGGCTAACCTGGACGACTCTCTGTATTTCTAATTTCAGTATTCATATACCAGCTGCTAAAAGAAAAACCATAACTTATAATCTTGTCTTGAAATTACTAATTGTGAAGTTCACCTAAATTCTTCATGTTTAGGGAGGATTGCTGCTAGTAATGTCAGTTTGCAGTGTTCTGCTTTAGGTATGTGTCATATGGGAGTCTGGAATCTGTAATAAATATGATTGTATTAATGTACTGACTGCTTTGTCTCTGCTGATTTTGAGGGGTGACGGAGGGGAGGAGGCATGGGAGTCTATGACCAAGTGAAGACACACCTAGAAAGTTAATGCGTTTCAAGCCTTCTGCCATCTCATTGTTGTAACCTTGTACCTTTTCTTTACCAAAGCACACATATCTATATCAACTCTCCTTGTGTGGCTTTGTTCTTCCATGTGTATTAGAAGCTCATGCTTAGAAAAGGAACTTGGCCCACATTGTGAATTATCTCTTCTAAACTCCGAGCAATGGTATTTGCCCTGTGAATTTATTCTACCTAATAGCTCACTGGCATAAACCCCCTCTCTTCGTGATCTGCTAAGATCAACCTTCACTCTGCTCCCTCTGAGGGTTTGACCACATTTGACTAGTTGATCCTCACATGGCTCCGGAAACATTTGAATTTGTCACCAGCTTTCCTCTGTGCATGTACAAGGAAGTTGAACTGTGCCCCAAGATTTGCCACGTGAATTACTTGATCTCCTCTGTGTGCTTCTAGAACTGAGTGACCTGGGTAAGGTAGACAAAAATCACACTGATACTTAGAGAGGGAAAACTCAAGGTAACTGTCAAGACCCAGTTCCCCACTTTCAAAGAATATATTAAGCTGGGCTTAGCTGACATACAAGAAATTTCTGACCACTACAGTGGAGGGAAGGGAGGCAAGACCCACATGCTCTAATTCTTCCCCTTGCTTGTTTGTTTTGTATCTCAAAGACTTCTGATTAAATGAAAATGTCCTCATTAATCAAAAAAAGGCAGAACCGTCAGCTAGCTTGACATTTAAAATGTACAGTGACAGTTAAATATTGGCAGTGGGATGGAAGCCAGTGGAATGAGAGATATCTATTATCTTTCCCTAAGCTTCCTGGATTCCAGTGGCAAGGACAAAAAGTTTATTGCCCCACCACATTCTTTCCTGAATAGAAGTGAAGCGCTCTTCAGTCTGCTCAGCTCCCGCTAGGTGGCAGTGGGTTAAAGAGAACTGCTAAACCGGAGGCCCCAGAAGGACTTGAGTCTCCTGGATCTCCAGTCATGGCTACAATTCATTGTTAAAAGCTCACCAGTCTGAACCGAGATAATCAAGGAGAAACAAGCTATAATCAACCCAAGTGGCAATATAAACGTTTCTTCCCAATATTGGATTTGCCTAATTTGAAGCCTAGGAAACCTGACTGATGGCAATCAGCCAGTGGATGTGCTTGAAGAGTGGTCAACAGCGAGCTTGCCCAGTGTCCCGTGTTTCAGGGGGCTGTCACCGGTCTCACGTCATGGGAGTTCCTTGTTTCTTCTCCGCATCTGGTCAGCTCCAC